ATTAAAATAAAAAAAAAACTAAAACTCCGCACTGAACGTACCCGAACTGCTGATGAACAGCAGTCGATCTGCGCACGCAAGGAGGTGCTATTCCTATTCTTTTTCTGGAAAAACGAAAGAGAGCTTCAAAACAGACTGCAGCGCCATCTGAAGCAAAGAGCATACTTCCTGCGGACACTTTTTTGGCTGAGTGGCCCATCTTGTTATGTACTATCATTGGTTAGGCCTAGGTTCGCAACGAGTCCATTGGGTATCGACAAGAAACTTCAATTTAACGGGTTTTAAGGATAAAATAATACTATTTTAGCCAGTTTGCAACAGTCATGGCAATACATAATATACTACATGTGCTATAAAATGGATAAATGTCACATAATAACCCACAGATGAGTAGGCCAATATTAATACCGCAAAACTCCCGTTTGTTGCGGTACTGGAGTAGGCTAGATCTAAATCTAGGATAATCGAATTTTCCACCACATGTTTTGAATCCGGTCTCATCCTATTCATTTCAGCACCAAATTTTATTTTACATAAAATTCTTAGAATTTTTCACAAGAAAAATAATAAAAATAAGAGAAAGTAATTCGCTTTTCAGCTCTGACAACTCACTTTTACACGCAAGTTAAGGTTCGTTAACAACAACCTGTTGGAGTATTTGACTACTCTTGCGAAATACCGACGAGTAGGCTAACTTCCTTTGACAAAAACAAGCCGGTGATGGCAATAGATTGGAATGTGTAAGTCAATTTTTCTTCGACTTTAATTGATAATATCTCGGCGCTCAGAGGGATTAAAAAGGGGTTCTATATCGCAAATTGAACTTTATAACGCGTATTTTCATCCTGGAAAAATTAATTCACCGAACTATGACGACAGTGGGGAAATGCGACACCGGAACCGACCCAGTGCTGTAGGCTTAGGCTAGGCTTAGGCCCAGGAGGTCATGAATTCGATCTTCGGCATTTCAGTTTTTTTAAGGATTCATTTTTTTTCTGCTTGAGGCATGGCATTAAAGGAACAGTGTTAAAACTGGTTGGTCTGTTGTCAGTATACGCTGACTGAGTGAGGCAATCGAGTTGAGCTAGGTATAATACAAATAATAATATATAAATAGTTTGTCTCATGTCTGATCTAGGACCATCGACTACGAAAAAGGCGTAAAAACCGATACAAAAAATTATAAAACTAAGGCCTGAGATTGAGCCTTTATGAGGATGCGTTGGGCATGGGCATGGGGTGTATATATAGGGTAAATTGGATCTTCTTATCATTAATAAATAGCCATGGCCACAGAAAAAAATATATTGTCCTGACATTTAACCTGTTTGTAGTCGCTGCATCATCAAAACTCCACAGTATCACTATAATCGTTATCATTATCATCAGTTCAGCACAACTTAGTTCAATTTACACCCGTAATACTAGCGACCAGTTGCTGCTGACACATGCTATTCCCACTATTTGGAAATGTTCTGAAATCGTCCCCCTTCCAAAGACAGAAAAACTTTCTGAAGTTAATGACCTAAGACCAATAGCCTGAACATCCGTAGTCTAGAAAAAATGTGCTAAAAAGACTATGAACATACATAGAACCCATTCAGGGCCCTCTGCAATTCGCATATCGTCACGGGAGAAGTGTGGAAGACACCATTCTACTATTTCTTGACATCTTATACAGACACTTAGACACTCCAAAAACATACTGTAGGATCCTGTTTGTTGATTTTTGGTCAGCCTTTAATACTATCCAGCCCGATATTCTTCTAAAGAAATTTGACAACATAGGTGTTAACGTCAATTTAATATCATGGATAGGTAGGCAATTTTCGTAACAACCGAACCCAGTATGTAAAATTAAAACATTCATCATCGACATACATCACAACAAGGGCCCCTAAAGGATGTGTTTTGTCACCAGTTTTATTCACACTATACACGAACGATTGCCAGATAACACTATCAATTGATTAAAATTTGCAGATGATTCAGCCATAATTGGGCTAATTGAGGTTGACCGTAACGAAACCGCTTACCGGAATTTTGTATTTAACTTTTCTGAATTGTGTGAAAATCATTAAGCTGCTTTTAAATGTGAAAAACAAAACAAAGAACTTGTTGTTCATTTTAGAAAAAAGAAGCCACCCTTGCAGCCACTCGAAATTAAATGTGAAAACATCGAGCAAGCGTCAGACTATAAGTATTTGGGTGTTACAATAGACAACAAACTCAACTGACGTGTCCACACTTCTCTCCCAGTTGCGAGCGCCGTAAAACCTTATACTATACATACATACACTTCTCTCCTGCATAAAAAAGTGAACAAAAGACTTTTTTCTAAGGAAGCCATAGGCCTAGCCCTACCAAAGTATCCGATCGGTTCTTGGAAACTTTCTTGTAACATGACCAAATGATCACTTTTTGTGGTCAGCAGATTTTCATGGAAAGGAGGCACGATTTAGTAGGTGGGCACTAGTCGATACTGGCCAATATCGAGTACTGTATCGACCAAAGATCGTTCATAACAAGATAGTAGTGATGGGCCGATACCACAAGTTAGGTATCGATGTCGATACCTAGTACTTTTTCAAGGTATCGATACCGATATCTCGATACCTAATGCTAACATACGCCGGGGGTAATAAGTAAAGACAAAAATACGAGTATACTTTTCCAAGTATTTAGGTAATCGTGTCTAGACAAGTTGTGACTATTTTGCTGAGACTCAAACAAAAATTATTTGTAAAAGAGAGAGAGAGAGAGAGAGAGAGAGAGAGAGAGAGAGAGAGAGAGAGAGAGAGAGAGAGAGAGAGAGAGAGAGAGAGAGAGAGAGAGAGAGAGAGAGAGAAATAAATACCCAAATATGAGAATAAAAACATATACTAAGTGAAGTATGGGAGGAAAGTCAACTTTGCAGAAAATGTTAGTATTGGAATATAAAAACACAAGAGTTCTAAAAAGGCAATTCAATTTACCAGATTTTTAGCAACTTTAAATTAAACCAATGAGGATAAATCAGGGTTGTCAGTGAGGATTTTACAAAATCACTAGATAGGTTTCTTGAAAAACTTCTCTCTTTTTGTTAAAAAAATCACTAGATTCATTTAAAACGCTTGCCCCCCCCCCCCCCCATGAAAACTTATCAGTTTTGATAAACAAAAAATTCTCAAAGCCCAAGTCACTTGCTTTGGCAGCCCTGGGATAAATCACACATAGGTATCGATGTTTAGAGCAGGTATCGGTACCGATACCGATATCTATAGGTATCTAAGTATCGAGTATCTAGTATCGATACCTGCCCATCACTACAAGATAGTTCACTCGCCAAAAAATGTGTCTGAGGAAGTCCGCAGCAGTCTTTATTTTGAAGCTCTCTTTCGTTTCTGCAGAAGTACATGTATGGGAATAGCGCAGCTTGTTAGTTTCGCTTTTATTGTTTTTCCCACAAGTAGTGTAACTCTATTCGCAAAGTCCGCACTTTTTCGAAGAGGGTGCCACTGGATTTTGAGGACCCTTATTTAATTGCCTCAGTAGTGTACATCTATGCTTGTTGTACACAATCTTTACTTAGAGAGCCCAGTATCGATACCTACTCAGTACTTATTAGCCTAAGGTTCGAACGAAAGGACGTAATTTTTTTTTATTATAAGTGCATTTGCATAGCATTAACAAAGGGGAGTAAGGGTGGGCCGACTCCGAGAACTTCCGAACTTTCGACTCCGAACATTTTTGGGCGCGAATTCGTCGACTTCGACTCCGAATTCGAATTCAGCCAATCAAATTTGAGGAGAGGCAAGGTCAATTCGGTGGGATTCGTGTCAAGTCAAGTCGTTCTCCCTACATCCGTCGAGTCGAACACGCTGTAGAGAATCCCGACTCCACGGACCAGTGTAGACAAAGGGGGCGGGGAGGGGGGAGGGGGAAGGAGCAGGGAAGAGGTCACAGAGGTCGGGATTGAGGCAGGCAATGTTTTCATTGACATCAGGGGAGGGCACCAGTTTGTTTTGAAAGTTATTTGCCCCTCGTTGACAGTGCAGCCGCATTCATGTGCGAGGATAATGGATGCAAACAGGTCATAATAAAAATCAAAGCATAAAATCCCGCAGTCTCGAACTCTAAAGTCAGACCATGCATTAATCAAAGCAACAGTCAGCAAGACAGAAGTCTATAAAAATAACAGTAATAGATCTAGATCTAGATCTATATCATAATCAACATTTATTATGATAAGATGAAACATACAAGGTTGAAAACAAACATGGAGTAATGCAAAAGAGACGAGAAATGTGACAATGTAAATGTAAGTGCCAGACAGGTCGTAAGAAAATACATGTAGATAGTACAATGAAGAGAAGAAAAGTAGTGAAATGTGTGTGATCGTAGAGAAAGCCAAAGAAAGAAGGAGGCTGGGATAATCACGGAATTTGAATTTGACGTGAAGATGGCTTGCAATTGTGATTGGTGCAATCAGAGACGCAATGCTCGTCCGTCACCGTAGTGCGTAAATTTGACCTTGGCCTCTTAGGGCATAACCACCAGCAGAAGGGATTTGTAACTGCTAGCTAATCAGCGCGTTCTAAAAGCTCATGTGACTTTCATTGAGTCGATGGAATCGTGGGACGGTCCAATTCGAACTCGCTGCTTCCTTCTGAACACAGCGAGGGGAAAATAGAAATCAGACATCGTGTTTTATGATACTTTTCAAACGTATGCATTTTTATTCATTCAAATCTAACCAAAAATGTTTCTTGGGTGCAGTTTTGCGTAAAATTATTCAAGTTTTAAACAAATTAAATATGTTTTCGCTCCTCGTGATCTATTTTCCCCTTGGCTGCCCTAGTTCGGGAATTCGTGTTCGGACTCGTACTCCTGCCCAATGTTCGATCTCCGACTCAGACCCCACGAATTCGTCGAATTCCGAATATCGACTTGACTTCGCCCATGCTTAAAGGGGGGGGGGAGTAGAAAATCCGGGTACTCAACACCAATACTCGGGAAACCTGTTTTGAGCTCTTTACCCAGTAAACCCTGGTACGCCCCCAGCCCTAGTTTCTGGGAATACACACTGCACCTAGGTCTTTAATATTTAGAACGGACGCACATCAAATATAAAGCCCGGCTTCCATGTGTTTGTTGTTACTGGAGTGCACACAGTGTCGAAATAGGCACCATCTACCCAACTAAGAAGCCTAGGGATCAGGTTCTGGTTAGTTATTACAGAACTGAGGAAGGGTTTCGTCACGTATTCCGGAGATCTTGTGCTGACTTCAACAAAATATTGTGAATTGAACAGGTGGATATTGACTAGTCTACAATTTGAGTGGTGTTTATTTCGAAAAGTCAGTAATGATTGGTTAAAAAACATTTTTTTACCATCACTCGAGTTAGTAAATAAATAGTAACTGAGTTTAAGATAAAGTAATAATGTAATCGAATAATTATTGAGTAAATTGTAAGTAGGCCTACAAATTCCTTTTATTCTTTACGAATATTTTCATATCAACTTGAAGTACAAGTCTCATTATCTTCATGTTATTACCATCTTATCGTCCATCTTTGGTCTGACTGAGGGCTGGTCGAAAAAAAAGACATCCTCCGATGAATTAGTCCAGCTTTTTTTTAAGGGTAAAAGGAGCCAGGATTCTGAATAAATTTGAGGGGCTCGTAATTGACCGCCGAAGCTTGAATATGGTTAACTTAAGTCCACCTTTGCTCAGAAGTCATACTATAGCCTTTGGTGGAGCAACTGAAAGCTACCTCTTTCTCTATTTCTCTCTCTCTTTTTCTCTCCCTTTCTTTCTCTCTCTATTTCTCTCTATCTCTCTCTCCCCCCTCTCTCCCTCTTTCCCCCTCCCTTATCTCTCTCCTCCCCCTCACTCTCCCTCCCCCCCCCTCTCTCTCTCTCTCTCCCCATCTCTCTCCAACTCTAACCTAAGCATTTTTTGAGGTATCGTGGTGAAATCAGGTGCTCGTCATGTGAAATTGAAGAAACCAGCATTTTTCCACCGGTTTGGCAATTTTTATCAATTTTATTTTGGCGCAACACCTTATAATATGTCCTTTTAAAAACACATTTCTGTGTGTATTTTACTGCACACAAAAATGTAAATTTTGAGTTTCCACGGACTCTCAAGCTATGCAACTTACCAAACTATAGCGGTAATTTTCTCGCTAATTTTATCTCTGAAACCAGCCACACCCACCTCCTTCAATCGCAAATATCTCGACTTCTATTCAGGATAGATGAGTAATTTTTTCATTGAAGGCAAGGAGAAAGAACAAGCTTTTTAAGATGATACAAATAACTCGACATGCCCAAAAACTGACGAACGCCTGATTCCACTGCGTCGTGACACTCAAATTTTTGTCCGCTTTCCTTCCACTTGTGTATTTTTTTCTTTCTTCCACAGTGAAACATGAGTTCCTCAGCACAGAAAGCAAAGAAGACGTTCCCAGGTTTCAGTGACAAAGCATACCCGGATGTGTTCAACATTAACGCTATGCCTGAACAGCCAAAGGAGCTCAATCCAGGTCAATTGTCACAGGAAAAGATCAGACAGTTTTTCGAGAAGGTGAGACCCAAGCAAAGAGTCCCTAGATCTCGCACTATTATGACTGATTCTCTTTGCTCTATATGAAAGTTTTACTGCAAAGCGTGCACACCTTGGGACCCTCCATTACGTTCAAATGAAGGGCGAAACACCAGTCAAGTAATAACCGAATGCCCGCGGTACCTCTCCCTCTTGCCCTTCATTTGGCTCAAAATGTTGCGCTCCATGATGAACCGGAAATAATAGATGGCCTAGCATTTGTATAGCGTAAATTCCCGCTCAACAGCAAGCTCTATTCCCTTTACAATCTGTACTATTACCCCAGTAGACGTGATGATAGCATTCTGAAACAATTTCAACTTCCTGGGAAACATGCAGTGCAAACTTCAATTTACAGGTACTAAAGCACTAACATACTGACACGACGTTTAGGCTGGGTACCCATTCCCATCTAACTGAAGCGAGGAAAATTCGTGTGAAGTACCTTTCCCAAGGACACAACGCCGTGCTTGCGGCTCGAACCCCCAAACCCGGAAACGTAGGATTACGAGTTCGGTAGCTTAACCACAAGACAATCAACGCCAGAAATAACGATCCAGGAAAACATTATTAAAGCCCCGTTTCCATGTGTACGTAATGCCTAGTGCGCATTGCGTAATGCGTAAAGAACGTTTAAATGGAAATTCAACTAAAGTGTATCCATGTGTGCGTGATGCGTTGTCCGTGATGCTTGATGCGTATTTGAACGATCGATGCATCGTTCGAATACGCATCACGCAGCTATATGTTTCGTTTTCATCAATTATAAAGAACAAAACTTGCTGCATTTGCTCTCTGGTCCGGCGAAAGTACTGATGGAGTCGTTTTGAGTCCAGTTCCAATTCTTTCACAAGATGGTGGTACACATCAAACATTTTCCTTTGTTGCAATATTTCAAGTAGATCTATCCACCTCCTATGTTTCCTTTTCCTCATTCTCTTAAGATACTAATACATAAGTCCAATAATTTCAATGTTTTGAATCAAAGCATTAAATGATAACACCTGTCACTATCCGGGTGATCCCCAACGGCCACCAAAATTACCAAAATCATCCATAAGTGGGAGTATCACCCAGCAGTTGGCAAACACTGGTCTAGCACCACGAATTACTTTCAAGACCAGCATTATAAATGTAACATTAACTCTTTGAGGACGCACTTTCTGCCTGGTCATTCGACAAAAGAGGAGCCAAGGAGTAGAGTCACGAGCCCATAGGAGGGGGCAAAGGAGGGCAGGGGGTGGGGCAGAAAGAAGAAAGAGGAGATTATAGGAGACGACAGAATATGGCTAGAGAGCAGGAAAAGAGGTGAAAGGAGACAATTTTAGAGAAGAAAAGTTTTCGGTCGCTACTCGGTTTCGAACCCGGGATCTTTGAATGAGAGGCGAACACCTTAAGCTCTAGGCCACGAGAGCCCCCCCCCCCCCTTGGGCATTTGAAGAGCGCGGCCAGGCATTGTTTCTCAACAGTTACAAAGTATATCTGAGTCCTGCAATGTGATCCGTTGTTTACATTTCTCCTATCGTATCATGGTGCAGTTTTTTTACCAGGTGAAATGTGACCCTTGTTGTGTTAACTTGCGGAAAACTACGACTTAAACAACAACAACAAGAACACACACTCACACACACACACACACACACACACACACACACACACACACTGTTCACACACATACACACACACACACACACAGACACACACACACATAGACACACACA